AGAAGGAATGGGATTAGAAAAGGGCAGAGGATGGCATGTTAGGCTTAGACTAGGACAGCCAGTGGTTTTCTGGGTACTAAATGAGTTGTGAAAGGAGGGCCTCCTGCCAGCCTTGGAGGAGAGCAAGGGCCCTGCTCGGGTGCAGAGGGGGAGCAGGCAGATGAGCGCTYCTTGCATTACACCTCTGGGGCTGCTGCAAGCGCACGGGTAAATAAACAGCTCCAGCTTCCTGCCAGGACTTTAACCTTTGCAATAAGAAACTTTTCAAAATAAGCAAACACAGGGAAATCCTGCTGTTTGTCTTGCTGCGGGAAGCGCTTGGCATGGGGATGGAGAGTAACTGGTGCCAGGCCGAACACCGCTCTGGCGCATCTGGAGGGGCTCTGTTGAAAGGACTGATGTTACCGCAGAGGAATGGAGATCTCCATCTGACCTGCTGTGCTCTGCTAGAGCCTCTGTGCACCAGGCTCTCGGTTCTGTGGTTTCTCTCCTTTGTGGTGCAGGCAGGAGGCCTSGGAGAAGTCACCCTGCCCCAAAGGACAAGGGTCCATCTGGACCTGCTGAGTTGACAAGCRTCCAGTTGGATTCTCACGGGACAGAAGGGAGCAAATGGGTTTAGCTTTGGCAGCTTGCATCACTTCTTTTCCCATTTGAAGCTTTGACGTTGAGCCACTGTTGTAGATATTATGCTATATAGATAGTGAGGGTGGAGAACTGTGTCCCTGGAGCCCCTTAGCACTTTCCTTCCAGAGCATGGACTTGATTTGTCTTGTCAGACCTGGGGCTCTGCACAAAAGCAGCTGTGTGTGTTGCTGTGTCGTGACCTCCAAGAGCCCCTCACAGCCCTGCAAAGGCTAGGGGAGCTGTTTTAAGGCTCCCTAAAAGTCCCCCAAGTTTGGGGCTTCTGTCATCAGCAAGAGTCCTTATTTCAAATAACAGCCCAGAAAATGGCCCTTTTCAGTGAAGCCTCTAAAAGTACTAATAAATTTGAAATGGAGGGAAGAGGTCTGCTCCCAGCAATGGGCAACTCCTTGAGTTCCCTTGGTTTTTATTTAGCTTGCTCAGCTCAGGCATGAGACAGAGCAGCTTAGCACAGATGCAGTAACCCTGTTGATTTACATGAATTCCTACAGACATACGCTAAGGTTTATGCTCTACTGGCATTTGCATTTCTACAGTCTGGACTGAGGCTGGGAACTTTTATTGGGTGGATTCTAGCAAAACAGAAGCCAAGGAATAAAAATAACCCTTTTTCTGGGTTGGGTTAATTTTTTTTCCCCTTACTCCTTACACCGACATAAATCCAGGCCAGTTCTGTGGACTTTAAGGAGGAACTTGGTTTAGGCTGGTGTAACTATGTCCCAGAGCTGCATGAAATGCTAACAACAAAACCCAAATTGCACAGAGCTACTAWCACTTAACTGGTTTGGAGGTTTTGTTACAAATTTGAACCTCAGATCAAGCTTGTCAAAAGATTCCTTAAGGTTCATGAACCTTTCAGCTGAGCTTTGGCCTAGAGTCAAGCCAAGAGAGAGGTGATTTATAGTTTTGCACTGAAACAACGTGAAATTGGTGGTTTTGTTTGGTCTCGATCCTGTAGCCTGACGCTTGCAGCCGAGCTTGACTTTTGAGAGATGGATTCTCAGAGTGAAGMTCAAAACCCAATGTGCAGTGGGAAGTGTAGGAGGTGCTGTGGAGATTAAAACCCCGCTCCTGATCCGCGTGGGTAACGAGGGTGGTGACTTTTTGGGCAGCCTTCCGAGTGCAAAAGCCGTGAGGTGCTACGGGAGCATCGACCCGTGCAGCTCCCTGCTCCGYGCTCGAGGAGCCGGGTGAGAAATCGGATGCGATTTGTTAGGACGTAAGGGCATGCAAGGATCACTTGCTTCGGCTGGCTGCCAAAACGAGCTAAGTACTATCAGTACTAACCTCTGACAGCCCCTGCAACTGCCTCTCGGAGACGCAGGAGATGGTAGCGCCTCTCTGATATTCCGCTTTGCGCCTCAAAGACGGTGCAATTCCTGCTGRTTTTATACGGCCTGCGGGATTAAGATTCACAGGCAGTGGTGAAGCAGTTGACAATGTGGTTTGGCAGCGCGGAGAAGGCAGCACAGGCCTCCTCCCTGGCCAGGGCTGCACGCACGGCAGCACGAGAGGGATATAAAGCTCCTGTCACTGCACAGGGCCATGCTCGGCGCTAGCCCAGCCAGCCTGTGCAGTTTGCTGCTTTTTTAGCCAGTTTGGGATGGAGGACAGGAGCCCTACCTGGTCTATCCTCTGTAGCTCTAGTTTGGAGACAGATGGGCATGAAGTGAGCGCCTGGCTCTCTGCAGAGCATCACATCCCATGGCRCAGGGTGGATTGGCTGTGTGCAGCTCCCCAGGAGCAAGGGCTTTGCCTAGCTCATGTCTGACAACCCGCACAACGAGGTACAAGGTCTGTCAGCAGCAGATTGAAAAGGTACCGTGGGAGCGAGGCACTTCTGCACCAGGAGGAGGTCCTGCCCCATCCGCAGCGATGGGGACGCAGCCTCCCCTGCAGTTTGTGCTGCAGCATGTGGCCTGCAGGCTCTGCGCTGGGCCGGGTGCTGCCTCCCCAGGGAGGGCTGTGGAGGATGCTCTGTTTGCTCCTGGTGGCCTTGCCTTCCTGCAAGCTAGAACTGCTTCTTAAAAGCCTTTGCTGTCTTACAACTGTATGGCCATTACATGGCTACTGTGTGCCAAGACTTATCACCGACTGGCGCTGTGCGATTAGGGGGTTGCTGCTTAGATGGTCATTTTTTTGTGTGTTGCTGCTTTTGTTGCTATAATGCTCTGCTGATACCCAGATGGAGTGAGATACCTGCTATGTCCTGGGGCTGCCAGATAGAGCAGAGCACTTGGACCTTGGAGCAGTGAACCCAAATCCTCCAGTTTCCGAGACCTGCTGGAAGAGCCTCATTGCCCTTCCTGGAGGGCTATTTAGTGGCACAGCTGGTGATTGCTGACCTTGTTAGCCATGTAAGTGCTCCCTTCCCTTTCTGTTGAGCTTGTTCTGTAAATAACAAGATCACCATGTCCCAGCTGCTTATTGCTGCTCTTAGGAGCAAGGGGTGCACAGGGAAGGACTGTGGCTAGTACTAGTCCTCCTCAGGCACGTGCTCCTCCTTTGAGTATTTTGGGGACTGAGGTTCACCAGCAAAACTGAGCTCTTCCCCTGAAACTAGAGAGGAACATGTAATCTCCTGGGCAATCAAGCTAACGAGTGCAGTTCAAATGCTAATTTTTGGCCATCCATGCACAGCAGGAACGAGTAAAAAAGATTAATTGAAAATCAATTGGCGGGATCTGACATGTGTTCACAGAGATGGCCCAAGCAAAACTAGAAGCTAAATTCATCTGATAAATAACTCACCGAGTTATTTGTTCGGCTCTACTTAAGTGGCTGATTATGTGGGTCTTTGGTTAATTGACTTATTGAGTGGCTGGTGTGGGTTTTTGGCTGCCTGCTCGCTTTCTGCACGTTTTTGCTATTAACTCAGCTGTTTGATGGAACAAGTAGCCTATTGTCTAATTCTTGCTGGCTAGGTTGGTGTTTGGTTGGATATTGGCTCTTGGGCTAATTGAATACATCTGCTGCTGGCTGTATGGTGGCTTGTGGGGTTGTCACTGCCTCTTTGTTTTGTTGCTTGACATGTCGGTGGCCCCTTTTGTCACAGTGACCCAGGGCTTGACTCTCTATTTCTGCTCATTCGCACTCAAAAACAGCCGCTCACCCTTTTTCCTGGTTGCCATCTGGGGRTGGCCACTGCCTCATCTATAACTCATGGGCAGTGGGTCCCACATGTAGACAGGGCTCCTCCTTCTTCCCTCTTCTTGGCAAGTGGGATGTCTGGGACATCTGAGGATTGTCACTGGGAAGGACGGAGCATTTTCAGGAAGTCCTTTCCCAGATGTAGCTGTGTTCTGCACCCCTGGCGTGGCTCCATCTTGACCTTTACGTTTTTCTATTGAATCCTTAATTTCTCCTGGGAAATGTGGCATGGGGGCTTTTGGTTYTGAAGCAGGTGGGTTGCTGGCTCAGAAGGAGGTTTGAACTCAAATGGAAAGCAGGGGGAGTAAGGAAGAGGAGACCTGGGCAGGAAATGATCTCTGAAAATTGAATAATAAGCTTGGTGGATTTCAACAGGCTCTTTTCATGTTCTTTTCTTTGCTTTTTGGCTTTGCTAACTTTAATTTTGGGATGAGAGAACATTTTTCCACTCTAGTAAAAAAATATTCCTTAGAAATCCTTGCTGGGCAGCACAGAAATTAGCATCACCTGGTGAAAGGTATGTTTGAGAGCCAAGCCAGGAACCAGCTGAGGCAACTGCATGAGGGATGAGTGTCTGGGCTGGGGAAGGAGGGAGGGCGCGTGTTCTTCATGCTCTCCTGCTCCCTCCAAGGCATCTGAAAGCCATTAGCACACCAGTCCCTCGGGGCAGCCTGGCCTGACTGATCTCCGGTTGACACGAGGTGCTGACCGTGGCTGAAGCTGACTTGACCAGGGCCCTGGGGAGATGCTCACATTAGCTTGTTTACAGCTCTTCTGCCCTTTCGTTGCATTCGTTTCCCCCATTTCTTGTAAAATACAGCAAATAGTGATGTGCATGTCCTACTTTTCTAGAAGGAGCCAAGCCCAGTTGGACACTTGACCTTGCTGGATGGATGTGGCACATAGCAGCAATTCAGGGCTCCCTCACAGCATCACCTGCAGTGGGAAGGACCACTGTGGGCCAGGAGAAGAACCGGTCCATCTTCCTTTGCCTGGTTGTCCTCTCTGCTCTCTCTTGGGATGGCCAGCAAGGCTACTGGTTCTTGTCTCACACCTCACATCTCCCCTCCAAGCCCATTGCCATCTTGTTGACCTTCCAGACAAACAGCAAATACTCCTCAACTCCTGGAATATCTCGTTCCCTTTCAGCTCAGGCCACAGGACCAGGAGAGAAGGTGACATGGGCTCCAGTGCTCCTTTTGCATCAGCAGGACATGACGATGAAGCAAGCCACAGACCTGCTGCCAGGTAGGCTGGGTTGTTCTAGCCAAGCTGTGGCCACAGCCTCCTGGGTGAATACAGCAAATGAAAGCCTAAAACTTGGGAGTCCCCTTAAAGTCAGGTTTCCCTGGAAACTTCACATACGTGAAGAGACAGAAGTCATAGCCCAGAAGAAGGCCCAAAAGGGGCTACCAACACCAGTCAGAAATGTCCATCTTGYACCATGAAGCCCCAGGCAAGATGGAAGCAGGATTTGCCCATCAAACTGCATGCTGTGATGAGGAGCCTGCCTGCAGGCAGAGCCTGCAGCTGATGGAAGCCTGTTTTCCCTTTCCCTCCCCTTTTTTGTGCCTTGTTTTCCAGCAGGCACCTGAGCTGTGTTGCCAGCAAAATCTTCTGGGTCACAGTAGGGGACATGCTGGGGAGAGGGAAGATGTTGCTGGTCTAAAGCTCCCCAAAGGTCACTGAAAGGTAAGGGAACTGAATAAGCTAAATTCTGCACATTTTTGCCATTGTCTGAAGTTTCTTCTGTCTTGGAAAACGCCTTCAGGGCCATCTTGTTGGAATCCTTCAGGAAAACAAGGGCTTTGTGATGGTAGAAGAAATAAGGTTTTTTTTTCCTTCTAGGAGGGATTGTAGGGAAGAAAAAACACAAGTGTTGGCTTCTACAGTTGAGAAAATTAGGAGCAAAAGTCCCTTCTGATCAGCTGTTCCTAAAGTTTAGGGGAAAATGCCCAGCACCTTAGAATGGGTGTCATTGTATATAATGTGTGCCCAGGTTGGCACATCCTTCCCAACCTGCTGTGGGATGGACAGGCTGGTTGGAGCTTCCACCAAGGCACAGCAGGACCAGCTGTTGTAAAGAGACAATCTTGTAAGGGCAGCAGAGCAGCTCCAGCATCTCCTGAGGAGCAGCTGCCTGTGCCTGAAGAGTGAAAGGTCTGGGAATCAGCTGACATGGAAAGGACAATCCATAGGGGAAAAGGGTCTTTTCCCAGATGGGAAGCTGAGCCCTGGGCTGCCTCCCAGCCCCGTTGCCACCCCTGAGCACTGGCATGTTAGGGGAACAGCCCTGAGTGCTCAGTGGGGCTGTGGGAGACCCTGCAGCTCCTGACGCCTAGACTCTCCAAGGCTCTCCAGGTTCTCCTTGTCCTGTTCCTCCTGAGCACAGCCTGGTCCCAGCCCATCCCTGGCTGAGCTCCTGGACTCTTAGCTGCACTATCTGACAGCACTGGGAGAAGGGAGGGCAGCTCTTTTCCAAGCCAGAAGTATTTAATCTGCCAGCCAGCTCCCTAGTGGAGTTTCCTCCCTGTTAGCAGGCGAGGTGGCTGCATAGGGCGCTGAAAGAGAGAGCTCTTGTGTGCTGGTAGCATTAATGGTTTGAATTCGGAGGTCATCAGAAGTGATGCTGGTCATGGACAGTGTCCACTCTGCCTGCAGACAGGCTAACTCTGTAGCTGGTTTCCTGGGGAAGATGTGGGTAACGGTGGAGAAATCCTTCTGAAATCCTGCTGCAAGGACTGAATTAGCTTCTCCTGGGTAGATTTACTGGCTGCCTTGGCCTCTCCCCCTCAGCTGCCTTGCTCCCAGATCCCTACTTTAGAAGTGCACGTGGGCAGGTCTGCCAAAGTGCAGTGAAGAGCTGTGGTTCCTGGCCTGGGCACGTGGCTTCCAGGCAGGGAGGTGGCATTTTCCCCTSCTTGCCACATGTGTATTCCTAGGATCCACTCAGTGTTTTTCAGCATCAAGAAAGAGCAGCTGTAGGATCCATTGTTCCCATCCATCCCTGTGCTCTGCTGCGGTGCAGGGGAGGGAAGGCCTCATGTACGGGGGTCCGAGTGCCTGGACACAGATGTGGCTTGTTGTGAGACCTGTTCCTTGGCTTGTTGTGTGTCCTGTTCCGGCAGATGCCCCTCCATGCTCTGCTGATGTGCAGGATGGACCAGGGTCTCGGGTCTCTAAAACATGATCCACCAAACTGAGAGGCCTTCATCTGAAGCCTTGGAGGTAAGGTGGTACTTAAGCACATGGGTCTCTCTTTTCCAGGGTTTGTTTTTTGGCTGCCCCCTCTATCCACTCTCCTCTTTCTGTAGCACCAAAGCACTTTTGGTGAGGCTAGAAACTGTGACAGCTTGTGCTGATCGAGTGGTCACAGAGTGATGAAAATCACCCAGGATCYGCCCAACAAAAAGGTATGAATTCATGTCCAAGCATCCTGAGCACTGGCTGTCCTCCAGCAGAGCAAGCAGCCTCTCACCATWAAGCACCTGGATCAGCTCCTCTGCTTTTTTTGCAAGCTGGTGGCACCTCCAGCTCCTGCARTGTGGTTGGCTTGAGATCAGAGCCTGCTTGATGGAAGCCAGGGCTGCACCTCGGCCTCCTGCGTGGCCAGGTGCCTCCGAGGAGCAGGAGCCGGTGGCTTTGCGCTCCTCCCGCACTCTCCTTCCCTTCAGGCCCTGCCAGGACATTTGCTTTAGATGTTTCTCTAGACGAGTTCAGCCAGCAGCTCAGTCGGGCTGGTCTGAATTAACTGCTGAGCTTCTTCRTAAAGCCAAGAGCTCTCCAAAAAGATACTGTAAAGATGGGGGATGCAGCAGGGAACAAGGAAYGAGGCATCCCTGGAGCAAGGAGGGGTTCAGAGACCTGCTCCGTTGGTCTGTCAGTGTTCAGCCTGGCTCTGGACAGGCAGGCACAAGGGTCTGTTACCTCAAAACTGGACTTTTTGCCCTAGTGAAGTGAGGACAACTATCAATGTATGGATCCTTGTTCTATAACAAGGAAGAATTTTCTGGATGAAAGCTTTAATTAGATTTGTTTGGAGCCTGTTCACATGCCTCATGGGTTCACTTTCTCTGAATTCTTTAAATAACAATATTATTGGCAGGAACTTTTGCGCAAACTGCAAATTTGGGGTCAAAATCTCAGCTGATATAAATCAGTGCTGTCTCTCCAAGTCAGCAGAGGTACACCAATTTACACCCGTGGAAAGGCAGGCTCCCTAAATGAATATTGAGAAATTGGTCTTGGAACATAAAATTGGAGTAAAACCTACCAAGTGTTTGTGCTGGAAACCTTATCCTGAGGCTGCAGCAGCYCTAAAGCTGTGGGAGAGCACTGACCACTGCTTGGCAGGAATCCTGGGACAAAGAGCAAGCCCCTCGATTGCCAAGMTCTCCTCACCTCCTCCAACCTACTTGCACAGAGGACCCTCTGCTCAGGTGAGCAGCCTTTTCTTGCCTCTGGCATGTGCAATATCTGCATCTTGGAGCAATTCTCCCCAGATGCCAGTGCTCTGCCCCCAGACAGCCCTTTCCACACCAGTTAACATCTTGTTCCCAACAACTGAAATGACCTCCTTGGTCTGAGCTGGCTGCCTGGTGATTCTTCTTCCTTGGCCTGAGACACTTTGCAGGCCCTGTGCCCCTCTGTCTTGACTGAGCCCRGTGCCGTGCTGGGGCTTTGAGAGGTGGAAACCAGGGGGGATGGAGCTACACCTGAGGACAATGCAAGAGAAAGGAGAAAGGGGCCTCTGATTTTTATTTTATGGAGCAACTGGACCATGCCCAGAAACAATAAATGTCCAACAGAGGTTTGATGCAAGTTATGATGGAAAAGGATCACAGAGGGTGTGTCTGAGATGAGTTCTCGTTTTAGACTTTGAACTCTTAAACTTTTCCACATTTGCAAGGCTTGGAGCAGTGCTCAGGGGCTCCTGACTTGCCTGGGAGAGGGTTTCCAGTCCTTAGGGATCCTACAGTCCTACTTGAAGCATCTTTGGGCAATGCTGCAAAGGTGACGATGGGAGGATGGAGCAGGAGCACTGTGGGGCAGGCTGCTGCATGCAGAGTGGATGCACTGCCTCAGTTCTCCCTCATTCATGGGAGGAAATTTAGGGTTGTAGCTGGCAGGGATGAGGTCCAGTCCCCACATCACTTGCAAGATGTTGGACTAAGGCAATAGGCCTTTTCCCCCAAAAAAATGCTCCCTTATGGCCCTTCTTAGGCAACCTTGGTACCTGTGTGCCCTTGGGGACAAAAGCCTGAGTCCCTCTGGGGCATCAAGCCCTTATGGCCATCCCTGTCTCAGGGGTCTCCTGGAGGCAGAGCTGTGCCCAGGTCCCTGTCCCTGGGGTGGGTGTCTGGTGGGRTGTCCTGCTTGCWTTTGGRAGCAGSAAATATGGCACAAAACCCACTCAGGGTGTGATGCTTCCTACCCACATGTGCAGCCCAAAGCCATCYGTGCAAGTGTGGGGCTGGGAGATGGGAAATCCCTGTTTCCCTGTGGATTTGGGATGCAGAGGGGGCTGAGAGGGGCTCCAGCTGGGCAGGAGGATCCAGGCCAGGACTTGTGTGTTGCTGTCCACCCCAAAAAAAAAAGCACCGTGCCCTGAGGTCACGCAGGTAAAGGGCTCCCAGGGTCTGCGCAGCCACTTGGAATAAGAAGGGCAGGAATGTGCTGGGCATTCCCGTGTCAGCTGAGCAGATCTAGAGGCCATGGCAAAGAGCAGGGTGCCCCAGAGCGCAATCCAGGGTGGAATCTCTGCGTTTCTCCTGTTGTTTCCATGCTGGTCGTTGTGGATATTTCTGGGTTGTGATTTCCCGGGTGGAAGCGCGTGTGCTTGATGGCCTGTGTGCACAGTGGATCCAAGACATTCCAAGGAAAGCGCCCAAGTCCTCACGTCCCACTCCAGCATCGTTTCTGGAGTGGAAACAGAGGGAGGCCGGATACATGGGAGCCCTGCCCTCGCACCCAATAAAACCTATCTGTCTGGTTTGTATCTAAAGGCAGAGACAGAACGAGAGAAAGTCTCTCTGAAATGAGATTCCTGGAATGACAGCGTGCTGACATGCTCCGCAGTGATTTTGGCAAGAACCTCGAAAGCTAAACAGAAGCCGGGCTTTGCAGAGCTGTGCAGCCCCTGCGGACTAAAGGGAGAGCGTAGCGCAGGGCTGTGGGGCTGCCTTGATCCTAGTGCCACCGCAGAGGCAGCCTCCTGTCACATGTCCCCAGACCCTGCCGGGCTGGGAGCCACAAGCCTAGACCCTCATCCATGGGCCCAGCCTTGCACAGGCACCACAYGCTGCAATCTCCAGCCTCGGCCTTGTTGCTGAGAAGGTGACTCTCAGCAATGTGGGGCTTGTTCCTTTTTTCCTTCGTTTTTGTTTTCTTTTCCGCTGCTGGTGTCTCTCCAGCCCTGGAGAAGCCATCAGAGGGGGTGTGGAGCAGCCTGCGGCTCCTGCGCGCTTGGCCTGTGCCCAGCAGTGCAGGTGTGTAGCTCATCCACCATGAGTGACCCGTGTGGGTACCTCATAGCGCCATGGAGCCCTTCAGGTTGGAAGGGACCTCCAGAAATCATCCAGTCCAACCCCCTGTGCAAGCAGGTCACCTAGAGCATGTGGCACAGGGCTCTGTCCAAGTGGGTTTGGAAGATCTCCAGGGAAGGAGCCTCCACGGCCTCTCTGGGCAGCCTGTTCCAGGGCTCTGTCCCCATCACTGTCAAGACATTTTTCCTTAAGTTCCTGCGGAATTTTAGGTGCTTCAGTTTGTGGCCATTTCCTCTAGTCCTATCAGCGGCCACCGCTGAAAAGAGGCCGCCCCATCGTCCCCACTGCCTCCCTTGAGGTGTTTATAGACCCTGATCAGATCCCCCTCAGCCTTCTCCAGGCGGACCAGGCCCGGCTCTCCCAGCCTTTCCTCACAGCACAGATGCTCCGGGCCCACCAAGGATATTCCAGGCCCACGAGGGGCCCTGCAGCTCCAAGCGCCACCATGACGGCGCCGTTGCCACRAGTGCCTTTCACGGCCCGCAGGGCCTCGTTGCGGCCGAGCGGTTCTTTACGAGCTGCTGCCTTTGGCCTCTTGCGCTCGCCCGGCCCTGCGGCCCCGGGCGCTTCCCGGGAAGCGCCGGACGAGGGGAAGCGCTAAGGAGTGCCGCGGGGCCCCGCCGGGCTCCGCAGGCCGCGGCACGGGAATCCCAGGGGATTYGCGGCACTTCTGCAGGCATCTGGCGCTTGGATATTTATGATCCAGAGGAGCCAACCAAGCCCTTGCAATCAAAGGGAACTGAACCCGATACTTGCGGTTGCAAAAATAGTCCAGAGGCTGTTTCTCCCCTCGCAGCTCCGGAGCAGAGCGAGGCTCCAGGACGGCAGGGAGGGGAGGCAGCCGATAAAACCGTCAGCAGCTCCTTCCCGGCTGCTCCAGCCTCGGAAAACGAGCTGCTCCCGGCTGCAAAGCGCCGCTCTCCTGCTGCAAACCCCGGCTTAAGGGGAAGCTGTGAGCAGCAGCGTAGGGTGAATGAATCTCCCTAATTTTCTTTTCCTTTCCCAGACTCCCACTCCTCATTCGGTATCGGCCCAGAGAGGAAGGAGGCAGCCAGGGAAGCAGCGAGATCCTTTCAGAGCCGCGAGATCCCATGGGTGCTCCAGCCCCGCTCACAGCCCTGTGCCCTTGTGTGTTTGCTGGGGCTGCAGCACCGGCTTAGGCAGGAGAAAATCCCTCAGGAAAATCCCTCGGCTGCTTCCTGCTGCAGCGCCCACCAGCCCCAGCGTGTGGGAAATGATCTTGCTCATTCAACAGGGAGCCCATGAGCAATCAGGACACCAGGACATAGCAGTGTATTTTTTCAATCTCTTTGCATTTTTTTATTTAATCTTATTTTAATTATACTTAATAGTTTCTCTGAGTGTTCCCTGGGGCCTTTTCTCTTGTTTATAGACTTGAGGAAAGCTGGAGCAAACGAAAAATATTGTAAGTATTATAAGCTGAGCAGGGATTTCTACCACATGCAGGAGTCTCGTGTCAAGTCCTCCCCTTGGCCCGTCACCACCCTTCCCTCACACACAACAGTGTCCAATAAAGCCAATAAAATGATTTTATCCTGTCATGCAGCCCTGGGGAGCACAGAGGCCTGGCCTCATCCTGGTC